AACTGCCAACTCTTTGAGCCACGATGGGAAATATGAACATTTCCCTTCAAAGTGAAAAATGTTGGTAACAAAGAGTTTGGAGACAAACACTCTGCTGTTTGTGTTGCTGGTTTGCAAGCATCTTCCATGCAAACTAAGGCGACTGCAGCAACCACAAAGCGCTTTTTGGATTTCCCCCACGGACACCAAAGCAACCTGCAGCAGCTAAAGCTACTTGCCGACCCCCCTGTGAGTTTCTCCTCCACCTCAGGTTAGCTCATTTCTATTCAGTCACCGAATAAGTCAAGAAATAGAAATATCGACATGTGTTACATACATGTCGATGCTGCTGCGTCTGTTTATTCTAAACACATCCCCACGATACATGATTTTATATGTTCTTCTGCAAATGAGGACATTTAAGGAGAAAAGGTCCTGCCTGTGTGTTTCCTCCCAGGTAGCTGATGCTCCGTATGGCCTTGATGAGCTCTGCTACTCCCTGGTGTTTCCCAAGAGGAATCTCCAGCCGAGGTGTGTCACTGTATTGTATCACAGCCACCTACAGGTGACACAACAAAACTTATCTGTCGTGTGTAATGCACCAAATCACTCGAGTGAGCAAAACTGCTGTAAATCTGAAAGGAAACTGGAGGTTGTTCAAATCATTCTCATCATGCACAGCATGCAGCATTACCTGTGTGTAGTGGGAACTGATATCAAACTGGCTGGTGATGTTGATGAGCCACTGCTTGGCGGTGTCAAAGTCGGAGACGCCAACGCTCCATGAGCCATCAATGATGTAAACCAGGTCATTGACAGCCGTGCTGCAGCCTGTGCACATAAAGATATATACACGTCATTAAAGACAAGTCATTACACTCAGGAGACGTAACAGGTCAGCTTTATGATCTGCTTTCATCCAAAGGTGCATGTCATCAGTACCTGCTCTCACATCTTCCTCCTCTGCAGCGTCCACTGTCGTCACTAGTGAAATTACACTCCACACTGACCACAGCAACATGGCTCTGTAGGAGAACACCGTGGACCAGCCCAACCTGCATAAAACAAAAAGAAAGCTTCTTATTGTAAAGATTAGGCAAACATTCTTTCACACCTATGAACAGGTGTGACCTAAAAATGACCTAAAAATTATGACCTAAAAATGACCACGCCCCCAAAACACATGCCAAAACAGCGTTTCCAGCCTGCTGAGGTATTAGCTCGACGAGCACTCTGTACGGCACGGAGCTAAAACGTTCCTCGACACTTTTGATTCCTGATGCAATCAGACAGCAGTTACAGGAGTAAATGAGCTTCCCTGAGGTGCTGAGTTATGAGAAGTAAAAATAAGAAGTAAACAACTGCACGGCAAAGTGCTGCAGCAGTTAAATGCACATGTTTGTGTGTGGAACGTGCAGCATTTCCTTACACAGAAAAGTCTTTGCATGCACAGTTATGGTCACACGTTTATAAACACGCACCGAGGATGTGGCTCTTCTTGTTCTTTTTCCAGAGTGGGAGGATTGTACAACGTCTTTAATAACTTTGAATAAAAAAGAAATTAGGTGGGCGGATCTGTACTGAATTCCCTGGACTTCCCGGTGTTCACACAAAGCAGGTCCATTCGATCCGTGGATACATGTTTATTTAGATGTAAAGTTATAGCCAGAAAATAACTGAGTTGTGGGAACCAGAGTGGGCATATGCAAATGAGCTGAACCGTAATGAACGCCAGCAAGAATAACTCAGTGTTTGCTCTGTAATTCAATGCAGTTACACACAGAAGCAGGAATAAATGCTCATAAATCAGCCGATCACTGCCGGTTTGGCCATAACAGCCCTGCTTTCTCCTTTTCTATTCCTCGTGCCACATCAAACACAACAAGGACACAATGACTCTGACTCTGTCACATTGTTTCTTCCTGTGTGAAAATATACGACAGT